TCCGCCCTGTCCGCCCCTCCCCCTGCCCCCAAAGCCCCTTCTGCTCGTCTCCCTGGTGCTTCACAATATTTGATTATAACATTGTATGCAGCCATTACTGATTAGCAGTCGCTCCTACCTACATACAATTTACTGAAAGTGACTATGGTTTTTTTTTCCCCTATGCAAAAAACAGAAAAAGAGGAAAAAAACAGACAAAAAAAGACAAAAAAGGCAAAAAAAGAAAAGAAAAAAATAAGAAAAAAATGTATAAAAATTAAACAAGCTATGCTTCAACTCCATGCTGCGTCTGCGCTTCCTTCGTCGCCCCTCCTGCCTTGCTGGGGAAACTGAGACACAAACTGAGCACCTGCCTGGGGGGCAGCAGCCCTTCACAGCACCCCATGAGGGACCCAGGCATCCTGGCCAGCAGTGCCGGGGTTCTGCGAGGGGGCAACTGGGTGGTACTAGGACAGAGTACCCCATGCGGGGTAGGGTGGATATGGGCACTGCCTGTGGGTGCCTGTCACCTAGGTGGTGTTGCCCCCCCCCACCCATGGGTGCAAGAGCGGCCCCTGCCCAAGCTGCAGGATCGGTGTGGGTGCCCTGGGGACACAGGTGCCCTTGGCCCCGCATCCACCAGCCCACGTGAGAGCGGCTCAAGTAGGATTAGTGGTGTGGCTGCCCGCACCACCCCAGGGTGCCCAGGCACCTGGGGGCATGATCCGGCCGTGCCCTGAGAGCCTCGGTCACGGCAGGGGCACGGGCACATGGACATGCACATGGGCACCAGCACGCAGGGGACACACATGTGCACACACACACACACACACGGATGCAGAAACAAGCACGGCTGCAGGCACGCCCACACACACCAGCATGAGCACACAGTTGCATGCATGCACAAACGAACACACGGACGCGGACACACATGTGCATGCTGACACACATGAACCCACGCCTGTGCAGGTGCACGTACAAATGCCCAGCATACACACACATGAACATATGGTCACATGTGCACATGTGCCGAGTGCCCCCAGGCATCATGTTGTGCTGTGGGGCATGGTAGGACTAAGCCTCCCCCTGCATGGGGCAGCGGGACACAAGGCAGGAGGGCACAGGGCAAGGGGACATGGGGCAGGAGGACAAGGGAAGAAGGATATGGGGCAGGAGGACATGGAGTAGAGGAACATGGGGCAGGAGGACATGAGGCAGGAGGACATGGGGCAGAAGAACCCAGGGCAAGAGGACACAGGGCAGGGGTACACGGGCCAGGGGGACACAAGGCAGGAGGACCCAGGCCAGGGGGACATGGGGCAGGGGGACATGGGGCAAGAGGACACTGGGCAGAAGGATACAGGGCAGAAGGACACTAGGCAAGAGGACACATGGCAGAAGGACACAGGGCGGGAGGACACGGGGCAGTGGGACATGGGGTAAGGGGGACATGGGGCAGAAGGATATGGGGCAGGAGGGCATAGGGCAAGAAGACACGGGGCAGAAGGACATGGGGCGGGGGGACACAGGGCAGGAGGACACGGGGCAGAAGGATATTGGGCAGGAGGACATAGGGCAAGAAGACACAGGACAGTGGGACATGGGGCAGGAGGACAGGGGGCAGAAGGACCCAGAGCAAGAGGACACAGGGCAGGGGGATACAGGGCAGGAGGACATGGGGCAGGAGGACATAGGGCAAGAAGACACAGGACAGGGGGACATGGGGCGAGAGGACATGGGGCAAGAGGACAGGGGGTAGAAGGACGTGGGGCAGGAGGACGCAGGGCAGGACATGGGGCAAAAGGACACGGAGCAGAAGGACACAGGGCAGGAGGACACGGGGTGGGGGGACATAGGGCAAGAGAACATGGGGCAGGGGTACATGGGGCAGGGGGACACAGAGCAGGGGGATATGAGGCAGCAGGACATGGAGCAGCAGGACACAGGGCAGGGGGACACTGGGGAG